GCCTTTCCCCAAAACGAAGGAATGCTGTTCCTGCTTCCTGACTGCAAGCTCGTCACCACCATCCTCAGCTTATGGTTTTCTGCTAGAGAAACAGCCTTTAGGACACAGTGGTTATCACTGGGCTTCACAGTCAGTCACATGAGCCAAGGAGACCCATGGCTCAAGCAGAAGGTTCAGGGCAAAACCAGCCATTTGTTCGGACCCCAGCACCGGCTCAGCCTTGCCGTTGGCGGCCCTGCCTCTGGCGTGGCTGATAGCCGCTCTGCCCTGTCTCCTCCTCTGCGGGGCCGCCGAGCCACAAGCTCTCACAATGCAGCACACTATCCGAAGCCCTTCTTCCAAATGGCCTTAAACTGCGTATGTTTTCGAGCCGTGTGTTCCTTTACCCCAAACAGCAGCTTGGCAGTTCGCAGTCACCTTGCTAACGTGGTTTGCGTCACGTCTACTCCTTTGCCGCCACTGAGGGGATCTCTTTTGATTGGACAGTTTTACCATTTTGCAGCTCATCTTTTGGATGGACTAAAGCTCCCCCTTTCCTCACCCTCCCTGCCGTCACATGGCTCCCATCAGTGCTTCTTCCTGAAGGCAGCTCTGAGGGACTGAAAGGAAGATGCTTCCAGAATACTTGTCCCTTTCGACTCTGCCCACCTCCTCAATCCATCTTCGTGGACATGTGCTGACTTTCTTGAAGGAAAATTCCTGGATAACAGCATGAGGCAGAACCCACTTTTGGAGTAGGATAGATACTCTGAATTTACATTGAAAATCTGTACTAGGGAGTGAAGAACTACGTGCATTGTAGCATACTGGAATATTAGTCTCCTATTAACTGTCAAAAGTGACACAGCTGTATTTTTCACAGGCCAAGGTGGATGTTGACCCCAAAATGTCAGGGCCTGAAGAGTGAGCCCATTCTGATGGAAAGATGAATTTTTTTTTTTTGTTCTAGACAGTACACACCTTCTTTTGAAAAGCAGTCAGCATCCCTGGGTCACCGAGTGTCTGTGGAATCAATGGGGTCAGCTCTTCTCTAAGACCCGAGGAGAAGAGCTGGTGTGCCCCAAGAAGCGGAGCTCTGGAAAGCGCTCTAATTCTAGGTGATTCACAGAAAGTTCTAGAACCATCAGAAAGCTCAGAGTTTGTATGTAATATCATCCACTCGAATAAACACAACGTGTGCTGCTCTTGAGTGCTTCAATGGCCTCTGCGACATTAATTCCCTGACGCTAAGAAGTTTTAAAGTTAAAAAAACAAAAATGGACCTGAGAGGAAAGGGCCTCTTAAAAGCGTTAAAAGTAGGATACACTGAGTATAAGAAAGGAGACTGTCGCTCACCGGGGTGGGTGCCTTCAGTGGCTTTCTGACTCAGAGTTTAGTCTTAAGTGGCGGTTTATTGTGCACCTTCTGGGTCAGACAGGATGCTCGGCCCTGGGGGTAGAAGGTGGCTGCCCCACACACCCTGACGTGGGCACTTCAGAGCCTACCAGGAGGAGCAACAGATGTAAAGACAACACAGACAGTGCTGCAAAAAGGAATGTATACATCATAGTGACCGCTTAACATTTAATTTAGGAAAGAAAAACCAGAAACAAACCCTACACCTGAAACTAATGTAACATTGTGTGTCAATTATACTCCAATTTAAAAAAGTCCCTTACACGGGCGCCTGGGTGGTTGGTGAAGCATCTGCCTTCGGCTCAGGTCATCATCCTGGGGTCCTGGGTTTGAGCCTCCAGTTGGGCTCCCTGCTCAGTGGGGAGCCTGCTTCTCCCTCTCCCTCTGCCACTCCCCCTCCCGCTGCCCGAGCTCTCTCTGATGCTTTCTCTCAAATAAATAAATAAAATCTTAAAAAAAAAGTTACTTATTGGGGCGTCTGGGTGGCTCAGTCGGTTAAGCGACAGCCGTCGGCTCAGGACATGATCCCAGGGTCCTGGGATCGAGCCCCACATCGGGCTCCCTGCTCAGCGGGGAGCCCGCTTTTCACTCTCCCTCAGCGTGCTACTCTGCCTGCTTGTGGTCTTTCTCTCCTTAACAAATAAATAAAATCTTAAAAAAAAAAGTTGTTTACTTTTTTCCTATAACTTTTAAGGACAATTCCTTTAGCCAAGATGTTAGACCAACTGAATCACTGTAAGGAGAACGTATGTGAGACACTTCATTAGCTGCAAACTCAAATACTACTGTTTTTAGTGTTAAATAAACTGCTGCTTCAAAGCATGGCGCCCACGTCTGGAGGCTCAGGGCCAGAAAGCTGTTCCTACTCGCTCTGGAAGCTTCACAGTTTGGACAAAAGGGCCTAGAGAGTGGGCCTGGAAGGCTGGCTTCTGGCAGGTTCTATGACAGGTGCCCGGGCGAGTCACTGATCCTCTCCGAGTCTTTTCCCTTTCTAAGAAATAAAGGGTTTTGACTCGCTTGTCTCCAAGTTTCTTCCCAACGAAGGGCTCTGAGTCTCCATTTCTAAGGGGAAATTCTACCCTGATGTACTTCAGTTACGGGAAGGAGGACGGGATTAGAATAATGAAATAAACAAAACTTTTACATGGGAAATCTAAGCATTTTTCTAAATCATCCCCATTTCAAAGTAAACCAGTTGCTGGTTTCAGAGGGACAGATTATTGCCCGCACATGGAACGAGAGAAGGAACAGCCTTAAACCCAGGCTGGCAAAGTTCTCCATCCGACTCAATGGTAGCCGGGGGAAGACGTTTAACTGGAGTGAGAAAAGACAGAGGAGGTCAGACCCAGATCGCAGAGCCAGTGACAACCAAAAGCTTTTGGCGTCCAGTGAGGGATGAGGTCCAAGTCACAGAACCTGGAATCTGAGTCAACTCAACTTTTGACTTCCAATCATTTCCCATCGTCTCCAAAAGCTGAGGTCTGTTTCTGGAATAGAAACCTTCTCGGCTTTTTCTAAAATACTCTTTTAAACAGTTTCAAGGTTGCTCACTGTTTTCCTAATATTTTAGGGAACTATGGAAAAACTTGCACACCGTAGAGGAATAACACAAATAGGGGAACAGGGTTGCCTGGGGTAACGTGTCCCGACTACACAGGCGCGCTCTCGGAAATTCCTCCTCAGTGAGGTGGCACTGGAAGATGCTCCCGACACCCCTCCCCGCGCCCCCTCCCCCACAGTCAGGAGGGATGGACTGGCAGGAGGGGCAGGCTGGGGTGAAGGGGCCGCTGAGGACACAAGGTCACGATGCGCGACGGGGCAGGCTATGAGTCTCATGTTGCCCTTGTTAACAATCCAGTCGGGTGTGGGATCCGCGGAGCAAAGATTAAGCTGTGGGCTTTGGAAAAATATCCAACAAAGGTTTAAAACGTGCTTAGGGCTCGATTATAAGGACCACTATCAGGGCTCATCAAGCCAATAGTTCTTGTGATGACGGGAAGAACGGCTAGAATCACCGTGTGCCTGTCATCAGTGTAACCAGCCCTTTGGCCCTGGTCATCGATGACGAGAGCAGCGCACCCCCGGGATTTCCAGAACATACTTATACTTTATAAATGGAGAATTTCTGCAGGACTTAAGAGGAACTATGGAGCCCAAGAACAAACAAGAAGACTGAACTGAGGGGCGCCTGGGTGGCTCAGCTGGTTAAGCGACTGCCTTCAGCTCAGGTCATGATCCTGGAGTCAGTCCCGGGGTCGAGTCCCGCATCGGGCTCCCTGCTCAGCGGGGAGTCTGCTTCTCCCTCTGACCCTCCCCCCTCTCATGTGCTCTCTCTCTCTCTCTCATTCTCACTCTCTCAAATAAATAAATAAAATCTTAAAAAAAAAAGAAGACTGAACTGAGTTCAAAAGACCCATTTTTCGGGGCTGCTGGGTTGCTCAGTTGATTGGGCATCCCAACTCTTGATTTCAGCTCAGGTCATGATCTCAGGGTCGTGAGATCGAGCCCTACATCATCAGATGCCATGCTCAGCAGGAGTCTGGGATTTTTCTCTCTCTGCCCTCCCACCCCCCGACCCTCGAGCGCACTCTAAATAAATAAAATCTTAAAAAAAAGAACAAACACCTGCATTTCTTTTTACCTCCTTGTCATCTCCATCTTTAGAACTCAAAGGGCATAGTCCACAATGTAAGTTTGTTTATAAACGTGCTTTTCTGTTTTTGCTACTATAAACCATCTTAAGTTATATACCATGTGGTTTGGGTTATACACCATGTACGTAGTTTTTCCATGTTTTTTGAACAGTATCTTCTACACTGAAATTACCCATGGGGGTTGACAGAGGAAGGATGTGTGCTGTTTATTTAGGCCGCGCACAGAGTGCCGTGCTCTCCACGGGGGTCCACAGCTGTACCTATGAGGATGGCACAGGGCCTGGGATCCGGTAGGTGCTTGGTAAGTACGCGGCGAATGATGGGTAACCAGACAGGACACAGCAGCAGGGTACGTGTGACGGGGAAAGGCGCTTGTACCGGGGTGACTGAGGTAACACCCACCTCAGTTTGGGAGAGGGACAGGGATTTTACACCCTTGACTTTGGAGGTTTAAAAAGGGGTCAGAAGTTATTCAGTAAGACAAGAGTATTATTAAAATGAAAGGCAAACTCAGCCTTTCCTTTAGCGTGTTAGAAGTCCCTGGACAGGGCGCCTGGGTGGCTCAGTTGGTTGAGCGACTGCCTTCGGCTCAGGTCATGATCCTGGAGTCCCGGGATCGAGGCCCGCATCGGGCTCCCTGCTCCGCAGGGAGTCTGCTTCTCCCTCTGACCCTCCCCCCTCTCATGCTCTCTCTCTCTCATTCTCTCTCTCTCAAATAAATAAATAAAATCTTTAAAAAAAAAAAAAAGAAGTCCCTGGACATGCCGGAAGTCTACCCTTTATTCCTAGATTCAACGACCTTTCTAAGGAACTACTGTTCATATTTTGGGTTGTTAATTAATTCCGTATAACCTCAGGGTATGGAACACAACACTCCTCCCTTTAAAATGGCCACTTCCCCCCTGTCCAAAAACAACACCAGAGGGGGTGGTGATGTTGGTCTCCCCTTACCGTGAGCGATAAGGCCATGCAGACAAACGTGAACTTCTTGATGTGAGCTGCGGTCACCGTGTTGCTTGTGCTCACCAGTTTATTGCTGGGGTTATTCTAGTGGGAAAGAGGAGGACAGTAGTTATCCTTGGCTGGCCACACGTGCCACTTGAGGAGCGTCTTGCTTCAGCTTTATTTGATGTGTCAGAGGTACAGATGTCACCTGACAGCTGGGAAGACAGCTGTCCGGTTGCTGGACGTGAACATGAACCAGAGGGAGTTGTGGCTAGAATGCCGGGCAGGGTTTCCTGAATGTGTGCTCCCCTTGGCGCTGGGCCCCCACGCAGCCTAGTCCTAGTGTGGCCCCTCCCGGTCACCTGGCAGCTCCGCGAAGCCACAGGCCTGCCCCGCTTCGGTGCCCTGTCCTCTCCACCAGTGGACCGGGAGTGTGAGTGGGCATTCTCGGCCCTGCTGGCCCTGCCGCAGCCTCCTCCCCTCGCATTCCAGACAGAAGCTCTTGCTTTTCCTCTAACATACTTGGTGTTTGCCCGTTTCTGTGCTTTTGTTCCCCCTTGTCCCGTTGGGTCTTCTGATTTTCAAAACCCCCGTCTTGAGGGCACGTTACTGGCACAGCCCATCTGTTTCTTAAAGCCTCTCTGATCTTTTACTCCAAATTGCCCTGGGGCCCCACTTCCGGGAATGCCGGGTGACCCCAGAGCTCTCTGGAGGTGCAGATGTACTCAGGGGGCACGCATGGAAGCATGGGAGGGGTGCACTGGCTCTCTGAGATACAGGACTGTGTGCCTCACCCTACTCTTTCACTCCTGCAATGTAGCACGATCTTTCTTGAGTAGAGAAGGTGGCCAGCTCTGGTACACTTAATTTTAAGCCAAGAGTGCAGACAGCTCAAATGTGCTCCTGCATATTCCTGAGGTTTCCTGAGGCCATCCCAGCACCACTGCTAAGTATGCCCATCACCTGGCCCCTCACTATGAAAACCAGCGGAGAAAAGAACCCCTTGCCTCCGTACAGACCCAATCAGTCCCAGACTGATTCAAATCAGTCCCTAAGCACCTGGCTCGTGTCTAGCCGAATGAAGGACACACGGGCAGAGCGATGACAGGTTCCACTTGGAAAAGAGCTTTTGATGGTTCCTTTACTTTGGGGGCTGCGGCGATCTCTCAAATCCCTTACCCGTGATGCCGCCAGCACAAACGTCTGGTTGACGTTTTCCTAATTCCAGCCTCTAAAGTAGATCTGCTTTTCTGAATAACAGATTTTGCTGCCACAGCACAGTGCAAGTCACAGTGGAAGGATCTCTCCATCTCTCCTACCCTGGGGGATCTTTGAGAGAGGTGCCTGGGGGCGGGGCTCACCCCAAAGAATCAGGCAAACTCAAAGCACTCATGTCACCCCTGGTGGGACCACGGGCGTCACCCGTGTCACCCCTAGTGGGACAGCAGGGCACCAGAGAGCCTTCAGGTGTGCTTTCATTTTGAAAATAGCACATATTTCTGCCAGCAGGGTTGGAATAAACTAGCACGTATCATTAGATTGGCATCTGTGTTTTGCTTTGTTTGCCCAATCTGCTTAGAAACAGACTCTTTCCCAGATGATAACTGAACGTCAGAGAGATTTTGTACAAGTGGAAAACACTCCCAGTTGATATTTAGTGAGAGCCATCAGAAGTTATGCAAGAAATGTTAAATCTCTTATTCTGGAACGCACAAAGAGGCTAAGGATTTCAATTGTCAATGCAGCAAATTCTGCAAGTCCACACAGAGGTGTCTCAGATTTGGGTGAATAGACGGCATTCACACGGACGGCTTGGAGGAGCTCTCTGGAATGCCTGGAAACAATGAGGGAGGCTCCAAAAGGGTTCTGAGTAACTCCAGTCGCTGGCGAGAGGTACGCTCGTTAAAGGGATTTTTTCATAGCACCTAACCTCTGTGATCATGAACAAAACCAAGTTTTTCTTGGACGCTCCTAGTGAAACTGTATGGTGCTGTATTGTTAAGCTGTATTATTTCAAGGTAGCCAAAAAAATTCCAGATGAGACTTTCCCAGCCAGGAGGTTCTAATACTTTAGTACCTGCTGTTCTCATCAAGTTTTATGATATAATCTGATTCTCTAAGAGCTAGAAATTTAGCAAGAAGACTTACATCCATCTTGGTTTTCTAGGATTTAACTTCTATACGCCTGTTCCTTAAAAGGAAAATAGTGAAGTCTGTCAACAGATTGGATTAAACTCACGAAAACAGGGACTGCACGGAGAAAAATCTCCTGCAAGCCACTCATGCCTTCTCAAAGTTTGCTCTCAACAGCCTGAGCGTTTTTTAGGGGATGCTCTGCATCCTGATGTTGCAAGATGCTGATGTTTGAAATAGGTAGTGAGTCCAACTAATAGTCAATTGGGGGAAGTTCCACAACCAGTAAAGAGCTTTGGGCAACACCATGGCCCTATGGCATGCTGGGCAGCATGGCGGGAATCCCTGAAAAGTGAGCTGCTTTTCACAGGTGAGTATGGGATGGGACAAGAGGCAGGTGACAGTGACAGGAAGAGCAGCGTGGGGGCTGTGCAGGGTGGAAGGACATCACGGATGGGTGTGTGTGAGCAGAGGTGTGTGTGTGCATGCGCACGCATGCGTGAGCGAGTCCGCTGGTGGACCACAGAGAAGGAGGTGGACCCATAGTGGAGGCTATCTTTCCAGACTTGAGTCTGCACCCCCTCATCCCTGTCAGAGATGCCTGGGGAGTGCCCTGGGTCAGGGCGTGAGGTGGAGAGGAAACCTTTCTGGGGCTCCACTCTGCAGGTCGAGCCCCCTTCCAGAAGCCCATGAACAACTACACATTTGAGAAGCTGGAGGCTATGTGAAAGAGAGAGCTAAGCTTACAGGCTGCGGCTGGGCCTCGCTCTGTGTGCCTTCCCAGGGTTTCCTATGCTGATGGGAGTCTGGCAGTGGGGAGGAGAGGAGGCAGGCCAGCCTTAGCCAGCCAGAACCCACTCTGCCCGAGCTGCCAGAGCTCACTTGCTGGGGTACCCTAGCAGAGAGGCCTCCTCTCCTCATATCCCAGGGCTCTTGTTGGGATCAGGTAAAATGGTATCAGCAATGGCTCCTAGCTGGTTCTAGAGAAATTCAAGGCAAAGGAGTTGCTGTTAAAAGTACAAGTGCAGGTTGTGTGCTTCTTTCCTATTTTTCATTTCATTTTATTTTTTAAAAGATTTTATTTATTTATTTGAGAGAGAGCACAAGCAGCAGGGAGGGGCAGAGGGAGAGGGAGAAGCAGGCTCCCCACTGAGCAGGGAGCCCAACGCAGGACTCGATCCCAGGACCCTGAGATCATGACCTGAGCCAAAGGCAGACGTTTAACTGACTGAGCCACCCAGGCGCCCCGCTATTTTTAATTTTAAAAACATTGTACAGGGGCGCCAGGTGGCACAGTTGGTTAAGCGACTGACTCTTGGTTTCGGCTCAGGTCACGATCTCAGGCTTGTGAGTTCGAGCCCCGCTGTCGGGCTCGGGCCTCAGTGTAGAGTCTGCTTGAGTTTCTATCTCCGTCTCCCTCGGCCCCTGCCCCCTGCTTGCTCTCTCTCTCTCAAATAAATAAATAATTCTTAAAAAAACTGTATACTATCTTTGGGGGTTATGTTTTGCTATAAATGTTTACAGGTTCAAGTCATTAAGCTTTAATGAAATAGACATTAATTCAATGATTGGTAGGATAGTCCCGACCCAGGCACAGGCTACCAGTCTGAAGGGTGTGTGCCTGCTTAGGCTATTCCAGCAGCTGTGGGAGGACAGAGTTGCTGTTAACAGAGGCTTTCCGCTGGAATAAGTCCGCTACATCCAAAGCAACCTGGACCCAGGCCGGCTGCATGGACAGCTTCGGGGTGCATGGACACTGAATATACCGGAAGAGATCCATCCAGAAGCTTAGGAGCTCAAGTGCACAATCCTGTCTGTACCTTCATGTCTGCTATGAGGTCAGCAAACCATTCATTTAATTAAAAAAAAAAACAAAAACCACAGAAACAAAATTCAATGTCATAAACTTTTTTGAGAGTGCATTTTCCCCTTTGCAAAAAATTTAACAATTACTCAATAGGATAACCTAAAAGTGAATATAGTTTGGAGGGCATCAGAGAATTGGCATCAAGGTAAGCTTCGTTACCTCTGTTATTTTCTGAGGGAAATATTCCACAGTTATGTTTGACAACACCCCCTCCACCCCCCCAACACACACCACGTTCACCTTTCAGAGGGAGGTGAGACCGGGGAATATCAGAGCGCTCCTCATCGGAGACGCCTGTCTATCAAAGGCTAATTTTAAAGAAAGCGTTTCAGACACCGCACCGTCCAGGTTCTCACCTTGTCAAAAGCCGGGTAGACAGCACGGATTTCTGTCAGCCAGCCATATGGCATGTGACCCACAGGGTACGTGGCTGTCAAGATTGCCACCGCCTACAAGAGAAAGAACCAGCAGAGTTAGTGTTGGCGTCCCAGAGAGCATCTCCTGTAGCTGCTCTTGCCACGGGGCAGACGGAGCTGTCTCTGGGGTGGCCACCGCAGATGGATCACTCCCCACTGGGTGACAAGCACCGGCCTCCGCAGGATGGCCTGGGGGAACGGGGAGGGGCAGGTGCTCCACTGTCACTATGGATGGGAGTAGGATGCGTGAGCCTGCGTGCTGGCTCGGCAAGGTACGATTTGAACCCAGGCCCACCAGACCAAGGTTCTTTGCTCTTTCCATTGAGCCAAATGGAGTCCTCCAGTCTAGCCCAATTCTGAAGTCCTGAAATGTGATTTTGAGCCCTTTCTGCTCTCCAGATAGTCTTTGCTCAGGGTCCACATCTATGCCTCCATCCTGTCCTTCTGGGTGGCTGGTAGTATGCGCTTGTTTGTGGCTTTATGGTGCTCTCTTTCTGATTCAACCCACTTTTAATCTGTCCAGCCAGGATAGCCCAATTCTGATTTCTAATTTAAGAAACTAAATAAATATTTCTTACGGAAACCAAACCTGTTCTTCCATGAAATTGAGAGTTTCTCCTTTTATGTGAATGAAAAGGAAGGAGTATGAAAACAAAGCATCAAACCCCACATTTTGGCAGAGTATAGGCTTCATCTATTTTAATTAATGTAACAGTGATGCCTGGAACATGAGGTAAGTCCCCAGCTGGGCGAAGACACTGCTGTGTGGGCCCAAGGCAAACCTCCCCTTGGTCACCTTCCAGCTGGGTGAAGCAGGGACCCTCTCAGACCCCCCCTTTCTGTTCCTCCAGCAGAACCCTGGGATTAATGAGATCCATCACACAGGTTTGCTGGGAGTCCCTGAAATGTGCTTAAATGGCAGACACGGAGTAGATGCTCAATACGTATCTGTCCTGCACCCTCCATGCTGAGCCTCTATGCCATTGAGGTCATTTTAGAAATGACTCTACTGTATCATTTACCTTGTCTTTTTTTGTTTTGTTTTGTTTTAACGGGAAGATGGAATTCCAGCACACAAATGATGGGGGTCACATACTTCTTTCCTGAGCAACTGAAACTGATGTCATTAACTAAGAAAGCTGTTGGGCTACAAGAGCCACCTAAGATGACCTTCGGGATCCAAAACACAAAATCCAAGAACAAACTGAGGCAGGAGAAAGCGTCCTGCTTGTGATTTATGTGCTTCTCTTTCCAAGCCTACATGAGCTGCTTCCCAGGACATGGAAACTGGCAGGAGATCCCAGGCTGGAGACACACTGACAGCGCATTCAAGGGCGACGTGGAAAGAGAAGGCCCTAATGAGTGGCCACCAGCCTTCCTGAAGGATCAGCAGTTCCAGAGACAGAATCAATTCTCCAGAGGGCAGCAGAGGAGGAGACAAATGAAGTAATTCTATTTGTTCATACCATACTTGAAAGATGGAAAACATGATTCAACTCTTTGGAGTAGCTGCCAGTTTCCAGATAAATTTCTTGAGTTGTGAGTGAGTAAATAATGGAGATCCTCATTTGGGGGGAGGGCAGATTGCCAAAGAGCATACAGAGCCATGATGGGCTGGGCAGGGAGGTACATGCGGGAAGGCAGGGCAGGAACAGGTGAGAGGGGGCTGGGTCCGAATGGGGGCTCTGGGCTTCACAGTCTGGGCCTGGTCACGTCTGCTGCTGCATGGCAGAGTCTGTGGGGTTCTGTCACCACAGTGAGGCATCATGCTAACTCCACAGGAAAACCGAAAGGCCATCGGGTGGGAGTCAGACAAATCTGGATTCTACTACCAGCCCACCTTCTTGCTAGTTTTGCGCCCTTAACCTTGTGCCCTTGCCTCAGATCTGGTCAACGAGAAGAATGAAGGAGATGTTTTCGTCCGTACTCATAAAAGTAAACAGTTATGTGATTCTAAGATCCTCATGACTTCTGAGTGTAAACGGGTCCCATAATTTGATACCACAGAATTACCTGAGCTCTCCGAATGAATCGCAAACAAGTCTGTATCCACCTCCCCCCCCCGCCATTCTTCACAAGGTGACCACAAGTGCCCCCATCCCCAGAAACGGCCCTACCTCAGTAGCTGCAGAACTGCCACCAAGGTCCCGGGAAACAAAGAGGTTGACAATAGGCCTACTGATTCTCTGTGTAGCCAAGATGAGGGCCAAAGGCCACCAGAAGCTCAGCATCTTTCTTATAGTTGCATCTCCCTGCGTCAAGAAATGGAGATAAAAATTTACTAAGTTTTAGAAGCAGAACAGAAAAAACAATTCAGAGCCAAAGCTTTTCCTTTTGATGTCAATAATGAGTCAATTCATTGTACTTAAAAATAATATAAGGAAAAGCCTCTGTAGCCAAGCCAATTTGAATTAAAATAAACCATACAGTGTTATTAGAAATTAACTCAGACAGTTGGCAAGTTACCGTGAAATCAAAACACACATTTAAGTTTGATGGATCCAAATCACTGTTTTCCAAGCAGGGCAGCTCTAAGCCAGGCAGAACCCAATTCCATGGCCTGGGAAACAGGCTGGAAATTGGTTTTTGTTTAAATCACCAAACTGACTGGCTAGAAGCCATGTCAGTAAGAGGTTAACTCTCAGAAGTAAAAAAAAAAGAAAAAGAAAAAAAACTATAATTTATTTTTGTAACCAGTCAGGTCACAAATGTGCTAATTATTTGGGTATAAATCTACTACCAAGGTTCTTATTCTCAAAGCTTTGACAGAAGTCACGTGAACGTTCAGAAGCATAAAAATAAAAGCACGGTCAAGAAAATGTGGTTTATTAAGAATTCTACAAAGCAGAGAGGTGTGCAATCTTTCAAGCCTGGCTTTTATGATTTAACTTTGGTTTTGATTCTTCAGAGGTTAAGAGTTACATCGTGGAACCATGCCAGCCACTTTTTTTTTCCCCTGGTTGGCGGCTCAATGTTCAGAGATGGATTGTCACCATCAAGACCAATTTGATGTGGTTGTCCTAGTGATGGAAGCAACTAGATCAGATTTTACTGATGGCCTGCCCTCGGAGGGAGGTAAGTGGTCAATACAATTACTGTTCTGACATGCCAAGAGTAACCTGTGGTCAAGGGCGGGATCAGAGGGTGGAGTTTGGGGCCGTATTCGGGGCTATGCGGAATCGTGTGTATGGGCCTCACAGCTCGATGGAAACCAAGCCCAGGGGTGTCTGGTACCGAAGGGTAGGGTACATTAGCATATACATAAGTCAGATAGTGTTTGTACTTATGATGAATAAGTATTTGGGCTGTTCGGGGAGGATTATACCCTGCTAGTATCTGACTCCACTTTGGAGGTGCAGGCCAAGCTCCGCCGCCGTCTAGGAGGCGGGGGGAGCATCTCAGACCTCTCCGAGCTTCGAGGCTCTTGTATTCCCATGGCAGATCTGCGCACTCTCTGGGGTCCACGTCTAAGTGTTGCTTCTGTGTTGCTCTCATCTACCAGGTGAGGTGTAATACAGCTGCTTGAGGGCAAAGACCAGATTTTAAGCTCTTCTGTCCCGCCCCTGGTGCCTACATGCTCTGCTCACTCCACAGAAGGTGCCCGAATGAGCGACTGCGTTTGGCCAGCACAGAAAGTATAAACAAAGCCTTGGGCCCTGCTGTGAATTTAAGAATAACCCAAATGTGAGTTTAAAGGTACCATGAGCCCCAAATACTTGTTGATTAATATATAGAATGACTTGCTTTTCACAATAGAGGGTACGAAGAACCAAAAATGCCGTATCTACTCTTCAGCCTGACCTGACCCACCATGCCTCAGTCTCCTGATATGCAAATAAGGAGGCTGCACAGTGACCTCTGAGACCTCTTCTGTCTCCCGAGGCCATCAACCCTCCACCCGGTCTCCGCCTCTGGACACGCCCTAGCACTGGACATCTTAGGGCATGGGCTTATTACTCAGGTTTCCCATTTCACGGAGGGCTGGGGTAGAACCCCACTGCCCTCGGAGGCACAGACAGGCCGTGGGCATGTTCGAAGGCCGTACCCCCAGCTCCGGTCCGCTCCTGTCGGGGATGATGTCGTGGATGTTCTTGTAGTAGCCCAGGCACAGGGTGGTGCAGCGCACGAGGGCGCCCATGTACAGGGACAGAATGGGGATGAGCAGGGGCTCTCTGCATTCCAGGTGACTGTGCAGTAGGATGGCGACAAACACGACCTGGAAGGCGGGAAGACAGGAATGAGTCGGCGGGGAGGACGGCACCAGACCACGGGCGCGCTTGCCGACCTCTCGCGCCCTGATGAGACAGCCGTCCGAGTGAAAACCTCGACGCTGACGAGGAGAACAGACACCGGGGCTGGGGCTCCATGCTGCCCTCACAGAACTCGGGGTCAGATATCTGGGCTCCAGGGGAAGAGCACACAATCACTCTGCTACATTCACCTCTAAGATTCTTTTATTTTTTTTTTTAAAAAGATTTTGTTTATTTATTTGAGGGAGAGCCAGAGCAGAAGCAGGGGGAGCAGCAGGGGGAGGGGGAGAAGCAGGCTCCCCACCGAGCAGGGAGCCCGATGCGGGGCTCGATCCCAGGACCCTGAGATCATGACCTGAGCCGAAGGCGGACGCTGAACTGACTGAGCCACCCGGGTGCCCCTCTAAGGTTCTTTTAAGGCAACTGTACATCTGGTTAAGGTGATTGCTAAAAAATATCTAGACACTTTGGTCCCCTAGACCCCCAAAAGATGTGGTAGAGGTTTGCCTTCTTGAGCCTGGATTCTAACACGCACACGTAATCCACATTGGAGGACCTAAGACCACAAGGAAAAAGTAGTGGTGGGGATCAGCGATGTAGACAGAAAAATAGACATTAACATTTGTAAGATGGAGTTCACTAAAAATGCTGCAAAAAGCACCAATGTTAATTATTAGAAAACAAACTAAATTAAAATTTAAAATACTAACAAAAGTGGTGGAGGTAAAAAGATAAGAGTCAGGAAGGATTAAAATAATAATAAAGTATTGATCTCTACTGACTATATAATCTCTAAAACCAATTTAACAATGTATTTAACTTTCCTGTCTACAAAGATCAGAGAAGCAGCCCAGCCGATGTCCAGAGCCGTCCGGGGATTCCCACATTCAGAAGACCACTGAGCATACACAGTGTGAAAATGAACTAATGGGGAGGGGGACACTATTCCTGAGCTGCACTGACTTTATTTTTTTTTAATTTCATTTTTAAGCAATCTCCACACCTAACCTGGGGCTTGAACTTACAACCCCAAGATTAAGAGTCCCATGCTCTACTGTCTGAGCCGGCCAGGCGCCCGGGAGCTACCGTAACTTTAATGGCCAAATATCCACGGAACAACAGGCATGCAAAGTACACCACCACTGAGTGATCCTGACCCAAGGAGGCTTATCCCCATCACTGCAGCACCAAGAAATCAGCGATGACAAAAAGTTAAAAAGGAAGCTGGAGACTGAGCATGAGGAACTGGATGAGTGCATTCAGTTAACTGGAGGGAACACAGAACAACAGGGTAATACAGAGAAACTTCTGAGCACAGTGAAAGTATCAGATGCTGGAGGTGGTTTGTTTGCAGCATGGGCTGCATCGTGTGTGCCGGCTGTCATTCTCAAACCCAGTACACGAGGCCGATTTGGACCGGGAGCCTCAGGCACAGCTTGGCCGCGTGAACACAACCAGGCTGCCACAGCACCGGCAATGTGAGCCGACACAAGCTGGGGTGGTGCTCAGACTCCTGCTCCCACTCCCCAAGGATGCAGCGGAGCCCACGGATGGAAGTCAAGATGCCCATAACTGGCTCTGTGCCTGTTCCTTCCAAGTGGAACAAGTATAATGTGTCCAGTGAAAATGCAGACACCAGCTGGGGAAGCCTTGCTAACACTGCGTTAGAACAGAAGACTGGGAGTTCTGTGGCGGGGCCCAGACGCGCGGGGACGTCTCTGATGCATCCGATGCATCTAAGGAGCAAACTCCCGCTCGAACGGGTGCAACAAGCTGACCGTTGGGCAGATAGAAACCCACAGTGTACACTAAGACGACTGTGTGTGGAGACTGAAAACTCGTTGCATGAGAAAGGAATACAAGGACCGAGCCCTCCGCTGCCAAGTCCAGGAAGGCTCCCGGGGCCATCAGGATGGCCACTGGAGATGGAGGCCTGCTGGGCAGGACCACAGAGGAGGATGTGGACAAGAAGGGAAAGGCGGACATGGGCAAACAGAGAAGTAAGTGCGGTGATGACAAGAAAACGGCCTGGGCATCGGGGCGGGCTATGTGGGACCGAGGGAGGGGGATGCCTGGGCCAGTGGCTCTCACACAGCCTCCCTCCCATGTACCAGCTCGCTGCCATGGACCCAGCACCCATCACAGACCTTACATCTTCACTGCGGGTTGTACTGTTCATCAGTTTAAGACAACACAGGGCCTTCTGCATTTCAATCCAGAATTATGATGTTGAATCTGATATCACCACCAAAAATATCAGGTTATTTTCTGAGCAGGAACCTACTCTCTTAGTGAGGATTTTCCCAGGGAGAGCCTGCTTGGTGCTGGCCCTGTACTCCGTGCCCAAGAGTCCAGTGATAAAGAGATCGTCCCGGGAGCTGACAGTCCAGCGGAAGAGCAGGGCCAGGAATCAGACCATGACACTGGCGAGTACCCACCGACGGGGTGAAGGAAGCGTGGCTTTGCCGGGATGCCCGGCTGCTGTGGGGGAGGGCATCCCCTTGCGTGCCATCTGAGCTGAGACCTGCAGCCTCTGCAGGAGGTAGGCAGGAGTGGCAAGAGTCTGCGGCAGGTAGGAGGACCTGAGGCAGAGCGTTTCCTCCCGAGCAGAGGGGCCGAAGCAAAGAGCCCCGTGGAAGGGGCCTCTGCCACACCAGGGCCCTGAATGGAGTGCCCGTGACTGGGATGCACGGAGCGAGGGGACGAGAGAAGAGCGCCAGGCTGGGGAGGAAGCAGAGCCCAGGGTTCTGCAGCACGTTGTCTGCCATCATTTTGACTGTTTATCTCAAGAACCCCGGGAAGCCATTTTTAAAAGCAGCTTCTGAGCAGTGGGGCCAGAATTTCCAAGAGAAGAGATCACTGTGTCTGCAGTGGGAAGGAAGGAAGGAAGGAAGGGAGGGAGGAAGGAAGGGAGGAAGGGAGGAAGGAAGGGAGGAAGGGAGGAAGGAAGGGAGGAAGGGAGGAAGGAAGGGAGGAAGGGAGGAGCGCCAGAGCAGAGGCAGAGGCAAGTCAGGAGGCCTCTCTAGCGGTCCAGGTGGGACGGGTGATCCTTCGGACCCGGGTGACGGCAGAGAGATGGGAAGAGGGCAGATGAAAGACACATCTAGGATTAAAATCCAGAAGTCCTGGTGATGAAGAGGATGCTCCTAGGATGGTCCCCAAGCTTCTGACCCGATGACGGTGCCACTGATTCGCTCGAAACCGAAATGCTTGATAGAGAAGGTGTGAATTCGAGCTTACGGTGGCGTTGAAGGATCTGAGTGGAGCCGTCACAGAGGCATCTAGATATGTTGTCTGGAGCTCAGAGGAGAGGGCCTGGCTACGGATATTTGGGAATCATCGGTCCTGTTAGAGATGGTATAGACCTAGGGCGTGAATTAGATTCCCCTCCAACAGAATACAGTGAGGAGAGAGAAGGATCTTGAGGACGTCCACATTTTCACCTCCGTAGGGGAGGTGTGCCTTCAGAAGGAGGAGACAGACCAGGACGGCGGTGCTGAGTACCAGAGGGAGCGAGTGGCTCGTGCAGGAGGGAGCAGCGGATGCAGCGAAGAGACGGCCAGTGAGTTGATGGGAACCGTCCACGGACTAAGTGACACAAAGGTCATTAGCGAGAACTATCTGGGTGAACTGATTGGGGGTGGGGGCAGCAGACTTGAAGGCGGTAAAAGAAGAGAAGTAAAAAAGAAATGGAGACAGTGAGCGAAAATCCCCCCTTCCAAAAAGTCTGGCTGTGAAGTAACGGAGAGAATTGTAGCTTGAGAGGCTCACGGGAGCCAGAGAAGAGTTCTTGTTGGTCATTGTGTTAAAACGGCAGACAGGTGAGCATGTTTACACGTCAAGAGAAATGACCCAGGGGAGAGAGAACAGGATGAGGGAGAGCCGGCTGAATCTGGTCCTGGAGAAAGCACAGGATCCAAGGCACATGTGGAAGAAGCGGTTCTGGACCACAGTGAAAGGGCACCCTGTCTCCCAGAATGGGGAGAAACGCAGATGACGGGGGGTTTGAAGGCAGGCTTGTAGGTCTGGTGGCCAGAAGTGGGAGAATTCGGTTGCTTCAACTTTCTCATGGAAGCAGGAAGGGACTTGGTCTACTGGGAAGAGCGAGGAGGGGAGGGCCAGTCTGCCGTAGCTACTGGAGTCTCAGCGGTGGAGAGTGATGAGCAGAGATACATAGTTCCATCAGCGTGCGCCACCGTGTGACTTGCTGCAGGAGCACCCACTACCTGGGTACAGGCGGTGAAAGGTGCATCGCAGGGGGTTCAGGAGTGGGATCTTGGCAGAAGGCTGAGATGAAAGGACAGGGACTGACGGTAGTACAGCAACATTGCTGACCTGGGATGGTGGCCTCCCATCCCGGCACCCTCGGCTGAGTGCAGGAGGCAAGGGCTAGGACGGGAGGTCCCAGTAAGGTCCAACAATGTCCTGAGAATACTCATGTTGATGTTGAGCAAATATTGACCAGGTGATTGTGAATCACAACAGAAACAGCAATATTTTTCTTAAATTCTTTGGCAATATATTAGAACGTAGTGCTATTTTTTTTTTTTTTTTTGATTTTATTTGACAGAGTGAGAGAGTGAGCACAAGAAGGGGAGGCAGCAGAGGGAGAGGGAGAAGCAGGCTCCTTGCTGAGCAGGGAGCTTGATATGGGACTCGATCCCAGGACCCTGGGATCATGACCTGAGCTGAAGGCAGACACTTAATGGACAGAGCCACCCAGGCGCCCTTAGAACATAGCACTATTGACAGGAATGGTGGCCCAGAAAAGCATCATTGCATGGATGAACCAAACCAAGAGAACTTTCTTGTACTATGGTGAGAGATCAATTAGCTTAGTAAAACATTTTTTTAAAAGATTTGATATATTTATTTATTTGAGACAGAGAGAGAGAGCACGCGAGAGCTGGAGGAAGGGCAGAGGGGGAGGAAGAGGGACAAGCAGACTCCACCCTGAGCAGAGCCCAAGGTGGGGCTCGATCCCATGACCCTGAGATCACGACCTGCACAGAAACCAAGAGTCAGACCTTCAACCGACTGAGCCACCCAGGCATCCCAGCTTAGTAAAAATCTTAAAACACAGGAGTTGCCACTGAAATGCAAGGTATTATAAACTATTTTCATTTTGCCATTGGCGACTTGCTATCTATCTATGCCAAGGTGGTATTTTCAAAGGACTTTGCCTGAGACCTATCTACTCATAAATTTGGTAATTAACAAATGCTTTCAAGAAACAGAGGCATAAAGCTGGGGGTGGGGCAGGGGTAATAAAAGATTTAGGAACAAAAATTGCATTTATTCCTCCAAACTTTCAAACTACACGGTTTAAAGTAACTACTTCACCAGGCATAGCCTGAGGCCAGATGGCATCTGAATCTAGCTCCCATCTCTTCTACCAACCTGATATGATTACTCTGCCCTTGTGAGCCCTCCCAGCAGGTGCCGGCCAGGACTAGGCTTACAACTGAGAAGGAAAATGGCCGTAGCCGTACTGGCAAAGCATTTTTCGGGGATATGGTTTTCTCTTCTACTCTTAGATGCTCACTATATTTATCTTAGGCCAAGTTAAGTTTTGTTTGTTTGTTTGTTTTATTTGCCCTTAAGAAAACACATATCTATAAATACTCACTGAGTTGCTGATGCCAATGTTGCAAACGAGAGGTGTTTCCTTAATTTCAAATGAACTGATTAGAGCGAACAAGGCAGTTTAGTTCATCTCTCAGAGGATGAATAAAAGTAAGATCGGGACAAAATTCTCTAATAACTCACAAATAAAATTAACAAAGATACATCAAGGGATGACGTGAACTAGTGTTCAGGCATGCTCAGGCGTGCATGCACGTGCAAACACACACACACATACATACATGGTGTTAGCAGGAATTAATTTAAATTACTTTTAATAGTGATCCATGGAGTAAATGCAATTAATTTGGAAATGTAATTGTTGGTCTTTAGGGAGGTACTAACAGTTTGGCAGTAGATTATTTCAAAAAGGTGGCTAACAGACTAGCTTTTCCGATGGGGGAAACGAGGCAGAAATGCACGGAAACGCTCACAGAATGGAACTGAGAATTGGAAAAGGAGATTGAAAATCAGTCCATCCCTCCTCCTCTGTGAAGAAATGGTTCTCTCAAACCTCTGATTGTAATTTATAGATTATGGGAATTTAATTTTCTGCTGAAATTTTTCATGCAGTATCCTGGGTGGCAGAAGAAAGGAGGGAACGTGGAAAACCAGGGCTGGTGCCAGAGCTGGACTCCATAGAAAGGGCAAAATGTAGGCCTTCTTCTCAGACCGTGTCCAACTTCCTGGCTCTTGTTAAATGTGGGCTAATGACGTGTGAATGGCAGCCCTGTGTGGCATCTACACGAGAAACAACATGGAAGAAGAATTCCTCCGCACTCCCTCTAGAGCCGAGGGACAGACCACGTATTGTGAGGCCACACAGAGGGCCAAGTGTGCACCCAGCCAAGCACACCGCGACCCTCTGACCACCAAACATGCGCGTGCTGGGACCCAACGGTCAGCCTAAAGGCCTAAACCTCTGATGCTGAATTTCAATTCCTACCACCCTCCTTCCTGCAGGATTAGACATACTTCTACTGCAAGAGGTCTCATTGTCTCACTTGTTCAACACACCTTCACGGATGTCCACCTTTGGTTTGAGTAACGCAGGAAGGCCCCGCAGAGGGAATGCATGTCAATGAAGCAGGCATGGGCTCCGAGGAGCTCCGACGGATACACAGACCATACTTACCTGAGCTATGACATCGGAGATGGATGCACATCCCACCAGGAAACTGTATTTGTGTTTTAGGAGAATGCCAGCATGGGTCCATGCCTGCCGGAAAGAATAGAATTTGGCATGAGAGACGCCATTGGGATTGGATGACTTATGGTTGTTATGATTTACTGGGCATTCCGGAAATAGACTCTCTACCTTCCCTCCCCCTTCAGAGCCTTTGGAGCACAGGACAAACTTTCCGTTGGTCAAATGACTGTAACTTGGCCTGATGACTAGGTCCTCATTAGATTTTTAAGTGGGATCAGTGACCGCACAGTATTTATTTAGTATGGATGATAATGGAGCCCAGGGTGCTCACTAGTTTTCCTGGCAGGAAAGCTAGGTGGATACCAAGAACGGAGGAAACACCATCTCTCTCTCTCTGGGGCAGCCGGAATGACAAGGCAGAAACATTCCCCTTCTACGAAGGTATTATAATGAGGGCTCCAGTTTGGTTCTGAGTTATTATAGTCATTATAGGTTCTCATCAAATGATGAGGGCTCTACTCTTTCCTTCTCTTCAAGTTGGGGCAGGATCTGATCTGACACTTTGCCTCTGAGGGAAATGAAGAGGAAGGTCCTCGAAGGGGAGCAGACGATGAAAAGCCTGGGGGTTGGGGAGTTTGGAGGTCTGAAGTTCAAGACAGGATCTGTGTGAGGGTCATCCTTCTAACCCAGAAAGGCCACCGTGGACCAACACAGCAATAACATTTTGTGTGAGCTACACACCATCAGACAAATATGGTTTATTCCAAGGTCTGTGTCAGGACTTCATATATAGCAGCTGCTACATCCACTTCCTCCCTCAGCTCACAGGTCTCGAGGTGCCAGACGTGGAAAGAAATGCAAACTGTCGATAACATTTGCAAATAGCGGCTTGTGTGCTCCCTTTGTTGACCAAAGCCATCGGGATGATAAGCTTTGTGGTTTTCAATTATTATCCCTCTCACCAATATATTAGGGCCGCACTGGAGGTGTAGGTGTGTAGGGGTGTGTACCCGGGGAGATTACCTGGCTTTTTATAAGTGTTCATTATTTTGTTTTTTTTTTATGAATAGTCTCTTATTGCTGGGTCTTTGGGGGCAGTTGGTAAATGAAACAGGAAAGCAAAGGGTGTTAATCACCAATGTTCTCGTGTTCCTCTGAGTTTTAGAAACTCTCTCACGGCAGAAAAATACAGCTGAAGGGAAATGAACACAGGGCACACCAGAGTCTGGGATTCACTTTTAGTCCTGACTCCCTGACTTAACCGTATAATGGTGATTCTTCTGTGTGTTCACAGAGCCCCCATATAGATGGGGGGCAGGCCTCAGAGCAATATCAGGACTCTGTCTAGGAAGTTGGGCTGTTACACTTTTGGGATGTGATAAAGGTCACTTCACTCAGTTTTCCGATTCCAAGCACTATTGTGCCCCCTTAGGCCGGCATGGGGGGCCGTGGGGAATCCAGTTCTAGGAAATCCAGCCCCTTTGCTTTCTTTCTTTTTTTGGAGTATATGTCAACTACCAGAGTAAATACAGAGTAATTTCTTATTTGATGATAAGTAAGAAAAAGAAAATCCAGGTACCAGCGCTGCAGTGGCCAAATTCTCCCACCGACACTGATGTCACATCAATTGAGAATCAGAGTCTTTGCGTGAAAACTGTGAGTTTAAGGTCATTGTGCAGACTGGTGGGAAGCGGTCAGAGAGTCCATGAGGCCACGTCCACAAGCTAATGACAGGCAGTTTTAACACTCCTGATAACACTGGAGAAGATGGACCACACGTCGTTGACCTTGGTTCATTCCTCCAAGGATGTGGGGCTGGAGTCTCACCTCCGTGTGGACGCCCACTTACCTCACACATCTACAGTACATAAAAGTTGAGGGGAGGGGTGGCGAAAAACTGTATAAATGAACATATTTTTAAGTCTCCTCCCAAAAGTAATCTAAAATGGAGCCCAAAGAAGGGGTTCATTTTCTAGCATTGGACATTACTGGAAATTTTTTTTTTTTTTTGCTAAGTCTCTTTTATAACTCTCGATAACACAGAGGAATAGAAAAAAAGCATTCTCTGAGAACTCTTTAGCATCATGACAAAGAATTTAATCTATGGAAGTTAGCCACCCTTAGTAATGTAGTAAAGCTGGTTATTAAAGCAATGAAATCCTATCCATATTTTCAAGAGATTCTTATTCTAAAAAGCTTTGGGTGCTTAAGCCACACAAATGGTAAGTTTATCAGAAAGCTGTCCTGATCCCTTGATCCTGAATATATCAGAAAAGAACTTTATATTTAAATAAAATTTTCAAATAGGCTCTCTTGCCTTTTGCCAGAACTTTGTGGCAAGTACAGACGATTCTCATCAAATAAATGGACAAGATGGGCTGGTTACGGGTCAGTGGTCAGCTGGAACCATTCTGCAGTGCCGGTGGGGGTATAAAATGGTACAGCTGCCATGGAGGTCAGTACGAGGGTCCCTCAAAAATTAAATACAGATTTACTACATAATCCAGCAATTTTACCTCTGGCTATCTACCCAAAAGGATTAAAACAGGAAGTTCAAGGAGGTATTTTATACCCGTGTTCATAACCCATTATCAAAACAGCCAAAAGGTGGAAGTCACCCGGGTGTCCATTGATGGATGAATGGATGAACCAAATGGGGTCTCTACAGACAACGGAATATCGTGCAGCCTTAAAAAGGACATTCTTGGCATTTGCTACAAGATGGAGGAACCTTTAAGGCATTACGCGAAGTTAGATGAGCCAGCCACAAAAAGACAACTGCTGTCTCATTCTGCTCACAGGAGATCCCTGATTGGTCAAATTCACAGAGACAGACAGTAGAGCTATGGTCCAGGGGTGGAGGGGACTGGAGCATGGGAAGCTAGTGTCTCATGGGGACAGAGTCAGTTTCATAAGACAAGGGTTCTGAAGATTCACAGCCATGTGAAGGTACTTCATGCATTGAACTGTATCCATAAAAATGGCTAAAATGGTAAATTTTATGTTATGTACACCATAATTTTTTTAAAGGGCCCACAATTACTCACCATTGCATCCATAAAAGGGAAGGCAGCAAGATATAGGAAGGCCCTTCTCGTTTTGTTCCCCACAGACTCATCCACATGGTGCAGTTTATTGATAATGTAGTAGCCTAAGTCACTATAAGCTGCAAAGGGCCAAAGAAACATACACGGCAATATTTAGAAAAAGTTATCTTTTAGGCTTTTCATCTCAAAGGTGCAAAAACAGTGTTAAATGTAATATTTGTTTTTTTTTTGGTGTAGAAAAATGAGAAAATGTAGGTGAGCATATAGAAAAATAAATCATCTCCAACCTCACTCCTCTACCCAGAGGGGGTCACAGTTAATGCTCTGGGGTCTAACTGCCCAGTTCATTTATGGGTGTGTGGTGGGCACGTGCATGGGGTACGCGTGTGTGTTTTAACACAAAAATGGGATCATATCGTATATATATTCTTTTGTAAACCATGAACATCTTTCCATGATTTGCTTCCACACTTTAATGGTTGCAATGAATTCCTTTTTATAGGTTTACTCAGCATAAACTTACTCAATCTCCTATTATTATGCATTTAGGATGCATCCATTAGTTTGATATCATGAAAGGGTACTTGATGGATCGTTTGGAAGCTGAATGTTTATATGGAATGTTACTTATTTACTAAGAAAATTCCCAGATGTTAATACGCCTTTTCTTTTTTGGGGGGGGGAGGGGCAGAGAAAGAGGAAGAGAATCTCAAGCAGACTCCCTGCTGAGTGTGGAGCCCAACACGGTGCTTAGTCTCACAGCCCTGAGATCATGACCTGAGCCAAAACCAAGAATTGGATGCTTAACCGACTGCGCCATCCAGGCGCACCTGTTAATATGCCTTTTCAATAAAATATGTTAAAGCTAGCTTTTCATGGCTTGCTATTCTTTTTGTTTCGTCTTTTGGGAGAAGCATGTGGGCACTGAACTGATACAGGCTGAATGAATTTGTAGCTGCCGAATAGATATAAAGGAAGAAAAAGAAAGGTCTTTCTAGTGTATTAGCTGGGCATTCCAACAGGTACTGTGAGCAAAGATGAAGTAAACTATTCAGGTATTTTTACCTCATTGATAGATGTGTAGACTAGATCAGAAAATAATAATCTTTGTGTTTTTCATAGTGTTTTACATGGTGCTTTAATAGCACTGTTCCTGCTCTTTTCATTTTTCTATAAATATGAATATTAATGCAGTGGACAACTACAGAAGCTGCTTTGAAATCAGAAAGGAGACAGGACGCAGTAAGAGTCCCATTTTATGTGAATAATAAGATCCCTCCCTCCACTTCAAAGTTTGGGGGATGACTTGGAACCATATGAACTGATAAGAACAAGAAAGTGATAGTAAAGAAATAAGCCTCCACTCTTTTTCTGGATTAGGCTTGCATCATAGGAATTTTGAATTAAGTCAGGTCTTCGGGATGATATCACAGATATTTAGATGCACAAATGGGAATCCTAGATGGGGAAGTAAAGTGATTTCAAGGGGCAGGGGGCTGGAACGAGTAAGACATCCTGAGAACAGGTGGGATGGGGGAGGCAAATGCAGGAGGAGCGGTCAAGGCTCTCCAAGGGGGCGCTGAGGGGAAAACCAAAAAGTGAGCCGCCAGGAGAGCAAACATGTCAGGGGTGGAGCATGGTGGGGACAGCAGAGCCAGTGAGGCAGCAAGAAGAGAAATCCAGGAGGGAGGGTGTCCCAGGGCAGAAAGAGCAAAGACCCGGGAAGGCGGGACAAGGAGGGAAGGCGGCGGCGGTGATACCCACGTTTGGATCCGAAGGCACACAGATTGGATGAGACAAGCAGATTAGAGAAGGCTTGACCTGCCCCTGGAAGGCTCAGGGGAGGGGCGGGGCGGGGGAGCCCTGCAGCCTGCCTTCCCCACCAGGACAGAAGTGCACTCAGACCTGGGGTATGCAGACAGATGGAAACACAAGGCCTGGATGAAGGTGTTCCTTAAGAGCATAAATGGTTTACTTGGGGTGCTGAAACCTGGAGGTTTTGTTATTGTTGCTGCTGATTATGTGTACATTCATTTCATTCAGTTGGGGACCGGTCACTGTGCTGGAACCTGCCAGGAGGCGACCCAGCCCCAGCCCAAAGACTGTCCTTGCCCCCCGACGGACAGAGGCTGGGGGCAGGTAAGGCAGCCGAGCTGGCTGAGACAAGCAACGCCATGCCAGGGGTGCGAGCCGGGTGGCTAGGAATAGCTCACAGGCTGAGATTCCAGGGTAAAGGTTAGAGCCCACAGACAACGCCACGGACTGCACTTGACGGGAAGGTGGGGAGGGCCGAGATCTAGAGGGGCCGTGAGACAGGATGAGCCGTGTCCCCACAGAATTCACATGTTGAGTCCTGTCCCCGGGGACAGCAGAGTGTGACCTTATTCAGCGACAGGGTCATTGCAGATATAATTAGGGAAGGCGAGGTCACACCGGAGCAGCGTGGGCTCCCAATCCAATATAACTGGGGTCCTTCTAAAAGGGGGAAGTTTGGACACACAGGTGGACACACACAAGGAGAATGCCTCGTGGACGTGAAGGCAGAGATGGAGGTGATGCGTCCGCACACCCAGGAAGGCTCCAGGTTGTCAGCAAACCACAGAAGCTCGGGGAGAGTCCTGGGAGGAAAGCCACCCTAATGACCGCTTGATCCTCTAGCCTCCAGAACTGGGAGACAATACATTTCTGGGGTCTTAGCCTCCCAGGCTGGGATACATTGTTAGGACAACCCCAGCAAAGCCACACAGGCGGCTTCTGAGAACGGGAGAGAGAAGTCTTTTCCCCGGGAGGCTCTGGGACCCATGAGTTGGAGCGGTTGAGAGCCGGGCATGCAGTTTGCTTGTGTGGTCCAGGGTGGGTGGGGGTGGCTAGAGATCAATATAAATCAGTTTCTCTACCTTCTGTAGATAGACCTCAATGTACCTACTGATTAGAATATTTCAATGAAAACATCAAAAATAGTGCCTCTCTGCAGGATAATGAAGATGGGCTGAAGATGCGCTGAAGGAGGGCTGGGTGGTGAGCTCAGTGGGCCAGGTTTTCTGACTCTGCCCCTCCCACCCCCTTGCTTTTTTCAGCCTACAGCTGGTCCTCGGCTCTTCCACCCTCCAGGTTCCAGGAGACTTTGGGACTGATGGGCCTGCAGCTGTTTTTTACCCAATCCCTCCCCCCTCCCCTCCTGTGCCCTTGAGCTGTTTCTGGCTGGAGCTGTTGGCTGGGGGTAATTTGTTGAAAGTGCTTTGCATAGAGTCCATAATTACCAGGCCAGCTGCCCTAACATTTATGGACCATCAATTTCTATAAACTGCCCTACCTCGATTGTTCTGAGACAGCTTATATTCCTTCTGAAGAGCAGAACATTAAAAAGAAAAATTAAACAAGGCTTCTGAACAAGACGTAACCAGATTTCATGACGTGGCCACAGCAGGGAGGACACAGGCTTGAACTTTTTATAGGCAGACAGCTTCTGACCCCGCCCAAACAGGAAGAAACCGGAAGGGCCAGTCAAATCCCCAGCTCTTCTGCCCTGGGCCCATCAGGGTGACAGACTCTTTCCAGAATCAGTGGTTCTCAGGCTTGTTCATCCAGTAGTTACCAGCGCTTGTTGCAAAATAGCCACAAAATATTAATATTAATCAAGACAAGTCTATATACCTATTTTCCCCTGGGAAGTGAGGAGAAAGCCCTCCTCCCATTCTAGTAACAGGATAATATGCGCATTTCCAAGAGGCGATTTGAGAACCCTTATTCTCGTTCAAATTCCCAAGTTCCCAGACTTAAAAGTCTCACAAGTCCCACTGATTATGCTTCTCTGTTTACTAGGCTTCTCACAGAGGCAGGTAACCTGACCCCTGTGTTTCTAATGAATAATTTCCAAGTGTGTGTGCCTGTATGGCTGATATTTAAGTCACTTCCACACATATGGTCGAACGGCTCACATGCGTCAGGCCCGTGCCGGCTGACCTGAAGTGGCTGGTTACCGGCATGGCGGCTGGGACACCGAAATAGGACACCCCTCTAGAGACTGCATTGTTGCAACATTTATCTGGAAGATACGGGTGTGGGAAGTACAATGCTGCCCAGGCCCTGGAGATTTATCATAAACCCATGCATAAAGTAAGTACAGCGAATGTGAGATTTTTAACACAAGAACGTAAATTTGATCTCACTGGTGTTGAGCCTCAGTGGAGTGGGATTTGTAATAATTTACTGCATGATATCTTGCTTCTCTCTAGAGAATGTGCCTTATTCATACCTGAATTCCCGGGATCTAGCCCACCGTTTGCCACATAGTCGGTGTTCAATATACACTGATTGAACAAAAGGCATGAATCCATCATCCCCCAAAGAAGTGATTGTGGCAGACTGATTGCAAGAGGTTCCCAATTCTTTTCTCCTCCTTTTATCCCTACTCTGCGATATGATTTCATAGTTCCTCTGGTGAAGAGTTGGGAGTCTATTTCCCACCCCCTTGAACCTGGGCTGGCCTGGGATTTGTCTTGGCCAGTCGTGCACAGTAGCAGAGATGGTGGCCACTTCAATTCTTGGCCTCAAAAGGCCTTGTGGGCCTCTATCTTCTCACTCGGGGTATTGCCGTAGCTGTCCACACAAGCTCAGGCTGGGGGAAGAGAGCCCAGCCCACTGTTGGCTGACGGCCCCCCAGTGAGCCCACCAAGAGCCGCCTCTTGACTCTCAGCTGAGCACAGTCATGGAGTATGGAGGGGGGCTGGTTACGTGGCGATACATTTTGAGACTATGCTGAGACTGTCCGTGTCCAGCACCCTCGGTGGTTTCAATGATGTCAAGTTGTACCCTTTTACCCTTTTCAGGATGGGTCTATAATCCGTGAATAATGGAAAAGTTAGCCGACATGGGAAGACTGACGAATGGACCCACGCTAGAAGTTACTGGAGGAGCTTCGGGACTTGTTCTCCTGAGCTGTGCTGACTGCCCAGGCTGCTTTGGGACATGGAAGAGGCCTTACAGGTCACTGCTGAGAATCAACTGTGTAAACAAAGAAAACAGCCGCAGCAGTGGTTTCTCCATCTGTGTGAATTAGGTGGTCAGGAGCTACTAACTTTGTGCAGGTGAAATTAACTTGGACTCAAATTAACCAAATACACGGTCAGCAAGTTTTCCTTTCTTTCGTGGATTAATTAAGAGGGGAAAGTAGGAGAACACCTACATCCTGACCACTGGCCTAAATTAAGGTTTGGTCGTGGTAAACCCCATGCCCTGCAATTTAAAAAAGTGGTGTCTCACGGATGCACCCATAACAACAGTAGTGGTCACAGTTTAGCTAAAATGAGACACTTATTGGTGGCTGCCCAACAAAGACCAGGAACCAAAAGCTGGAAATGCTCCCAAGGCTCCTGCAGTTTCGATATCGAGAGCCAGGCTCTGGTGCACACAGAGCAGACACGAACTTTTGGGTTGGTGGATTTTCTAGACTTCAAAGTCTGTCAGTCCAACAGAATTCCAAGAGTCTACTCAAAACAACTGCTACATCGATCTGGGATGTAGAACCGTTTTGATTCACACGTAAGATTTTATAATTCTCTTTTAAAAAGGAAAATTTTAGATTTAACTTGAAAAACGATGCTGATTTTTTATCTTGATGACCACATGTTTCTTAGGCTGGTTTCCATAACACAGGACACTCAGCTTTTCTCTTCCGTGATTACTGACGCCTAGTAATTAGCTATTAGTCCCAAAGCCTTATGCAACTATGACTAAAATAGGGAACGTTAGGCTTATTTAAGAAATCTAAATAAACTGGTAGCAAAAGGGAACTAATTTACCCATTGTGACACAAATTATCTAGACCTACTCATTTCACGTCTGGAATTTTCCCGAAGGCATATACCAGATCAAATCCAGCTGTAGGATGTTTCTTCAAAGCACATGCACAAGTTAGTATTCAGGGCATGAGTTGAAGGAAGAAGAGAATCTCCCCTCAACCCCAGGCCCTGAAGCTCTGAGCCCAAGTTAAATGATCAATATTCAACACTTTGGCTCAAAATCTGGCCCGTGAGTAGCATCTTCTTACGGTTTCACACTGTTCTCAGCACAAATGTCTGTGCTACATTCAAGAGGAAAACCAAAAGTGTCTCGCCCCATTTACTTTTAGATTCACGGTCGTGCGAGTAACCATTAGCTGCCATCTCAATACACCCTGAATGGTTTGGGTTAATTTTCTGACTCCTTTATTCACCACTGACATTCATGGAGCTCATGCAGCCGGTGTTGTTTTGAAGGTACACGATGGATTTATGGGGTGTTATTCATGGGTTTTATGCAACTGGGCTCAATAGATGTGCCACTCAATTTTTATGCCCGGAAAGCTGTGCTGTTTTAAAGCCAAGGAGCCCTGAAGTCAGGCTCTTAGAGTTTTTATCGCCACCCAGAAGGCAGCAGAAGCAGGACTGAGGCTCCAAAGCAAGTCCTTTTCCAAGGTCTTGGTGCCAGGCTCTGCGGGTCAGTGTATGTATGATATAGCTTTCTTATTTTTTCATGGAAAGAATGTTATGCCACAGTATTTAGTCTCGTCTTTGAATAAAATAGCCTTGTGAGCCCCTAAAATAGGTTAATTTCAATACATAAAACCATCTGTTTTATTTATTTAACACATAAAACAACCATTTGTTCTCACTGCTGATAAGCATCAATCCTAAATAACCACCATTCTGCTTTTATTTTTAAGATTGAGTGTGTGTCATAATGCGTGTCTCTAGGAAGCCTGGGCCATGTGGTTGACCTTACTGAAATCACTTCCTCTCTGACACAGGGCTTGGGAGTCAAAGAATGAAAGCTAGGACTTCCCAGGGAAAACACATTTTCCTTTCTTGCGCTAGGAGCACAAACCCCACTCCTTTCATCCCTCGAAATTTTCATGATAAGTGTTTTAATAATTACTGGAGAAATCACTTACTACAATAAATGCATTCAAATGGCTGGAAAAGAACAAGAAACGACCCAAGCGAGCGCCTTGCGCGAGGGTCAGCAGCCTTACCTATCAGGGTGTGGAAGATAGCAGCAATGGCGCCGGCCACCACCATGCACAGGACAGCTTTGGTCCTGTCTCGCTTGCTGTTCACAAACACCAGGCCCACATTTTTAAAGTCACTCATGGGACCCGTGAAGAACTTCATTAGGGAGTACGCCAGCCCGTAGCTGGCTAGCATTTCCACTGCATCCTCCTTGACAGCAGCAATACCCCGGTTCAAGGCCTGTGGGGGGAAAAAGACAACCCACAAACAGCATTAGAAATGTCGTCGCATCTCCAGGGACTCACACTTCCAAAATAAAAACTCAGCAGACAGGTTTCTATAGAAACGCTAGGCAGCTTATAGGGTAAAGCTCACTATAATTTGATAAAGGTTATTAGTTTTCATTTTCATCCGTATTAGCTTCGGTTCAAAATATCTTCTTGTAGGGGAGATATCTGCCCGTTGGGGTTAAAATAATAGAGGAAAAACCCAACAAGAATTTTATGCTAATACCAGAAAATAATTCTAGGAAGTTTTGGTTAAAAGCTTAACCTATTAAATTTTATTTGTAGGCTGAATTTATGTAAGGGCAACAGGCATTCTCGAAATGAGTCAGACACTTTGTACGGAGTGGGTGATGGCTTTTCTTTTTCTTTAAGGAAGGGGAATGTGTGCATGTGTGTGTGTGCATGTGTGATTGCATGTGTGTGTGCACCCATAACCTGAAATACTATGTATGTGTTATGTAGGTACCCTTCAGAGCATAGAGTGGATTCTATGCTATGAAAAAAGTATTGAAGGGGCGCCTGGGTGGCTCAGTCGTTAAGCGTCTGCCTTCGGCTCAGGTCATGATCCCAGGGTCCTGGGATCGAACCCCACATCGGGCTCCTTGCTCCACGGGAAGCCTGCTTCTCCCTCTCCCACTCCCCCTGCTTGTGTTCCCTCTCTCGCTGTGTTGCTCTCTGTCAAATAAATAAAATCTTTTAAAAAAAAAGTACTGAAGGAATATATTATATAATTGACGGATGCCATTTACCCAATTCTTACTATATTTTAGTTTGAAATGTATTCCTGAGCTCTGTGCAAACAAGTATGAAAAGAAAACCTTTAAACCAAAAACACTGTTTTCGGATGATGCTTGCTCAAGAAGTTGTGGTCACAGAATATTCTGATCTCTTTTTTTTAGGGATGGAGTGGGGAGAGGCAGAGGGAGAGGGTGAGAGAGAGCATCTTAAGTGGTGCTCCAACTCACAACCCGGAGATCATGACCTGAGCTGAAATCAAGAGTCAGACGCTTACCCACTGAGCCATCCAGGTGCCCCAGAATATTCTGATCATTTTCACCATCCTCCACGAGGGACCCTGGGAGGTACCTAGGTGGCCTTGTCAGGACGGCATTTCCAAACTTACTTTCCTACCTGCTCGACAAATTACACCACAGATGGTGGGAATGGATGTCTAGGTGGAGAGAATTAAAAAAAAAAGTCGCTAGGACCTCACCTGTTCTTTAGGAACAGGAAACTGATTAAGGAGAATCGGCTTTCTATGCAGGCATAGACTTTTAGAAACAGATGTAGTGTAAGCACGAACAGTAAGTTTTGATTGCTCAGACAACTATTTCAAAGAGGCATCCACTTTCAAGAAAACTATTGTGAATAAACCCATGGCCAGCCACACGACTAGATAAAGAGCCAGGCTACCTTCCACACCACTAAGGCTCCTTTGTTTTAGAGATCTTGGTTGATTTCATAATTGGCCATTTGGGCCACTTGTCTCTTCCCCAAGAGCTTTAAATTCCTGTTCTTATGTCTTAAATTCACCAATAAAGAGTAAGCCTGTGAAACTCTGGGTCCCCATCCTTGACTCCAATAAAAGCAGAATCCCAGGCCCATGTGTGTGTGCGTGCTCCCCCACCACCCCCATCTCACTGGGGTAGCCCAGGTGTGCTGTGCAATTTCTGGGTCTAGTAAATCATAAACCTTTCTTTTTTCAAAGTTTCCTGATGGTTATTGCTGAAGGGCGTCCTGCAATCATAGTAAGATCCACAAGGGTCAGCCCAGTAGTAACACTGATTTTGAAAGGGGGAGATGTCTGTGGAAGGCTCACTGGGGCCCATGTTAGGGCCCCAAAGCACAAAACAATAGACTTTATTTTTTAGAGCCACAAAATGGAGAATGTCCAAAGTTGCTATACTCCCTCTGCCCCAGCACACACGACTTTCCCCACTATCAATATCCCATGCCAGAGTGGTACATTTTTACAGTCAATGAGCCTACAATGATGCATCTTTATCACTCAAAGACCATAGTTTGCATCCTAGGGGTTTTGACAAATAAATAACGACAACGTATCCATCATTATATAATTGAACCCAAAGCACAGTTAGCAAAAAAAAAAAAAAAAAAGTATAGGAAAATACCAATGTGTAAAACGGTTTTAGAAGAACCTAGAAGAAAAATATCTAATAGCTATAGGAATTTAGTATCATTCTTCTGACAAAGTTGGTATTAGATAAGCTAGTTTTTAATAATTGTTTCCAATTATATGTCTAATCATCTTTTCCTTTTTTTCCAATAATACTTAAAAATTCCCATAAGAACCTTCTTATTACCCTTTGTGGAGCATGCCTGCCATGATGCCTTCCTTAGAAAAAATTTTCCTTCTAGCAAATACATCTAATCTATTTGATCTGATCTGATCTAATACTTTAACACCCTAAAGCAAAATAAAAACCAAGAAGCTCCTTGATCATAAATCCTGGTTCAATAGGCACATCTAGTCAGAGTGTCCTGTCATGTGTCAAAACCTATCACTGGATAATCTTCCAAATTAATTTTTTTGGATATGCAGTGAATGCTGTTGGCATCCCACCCAGACCCTTTACTGGGTGGGAGTTGGCCACAATGGCTCACAGCTGCCTCCTCCTCAGGGAAAATTGTCCCCAGCCACTTTGGGTTGGTTAAGCCACACCTTACCCCCAGGATGCACACAGCCAATGGCTGGCTGACACAGGGGTATAGAAGATCAGCTGCCCGCCTCAGTGACGGGGAGTACAATGAGCTCCCTGTGGGATCAGGTGGGGAGCTAGTCTCCAGTGGAGACCACCTCCTCGCTTAACTTCTCCCCACCACCCAACTCTCCCCTCTCCCTGCATCAAATCACCTGCATAAGAATTCCCCAACACAGGCTCTGCTTCCAGAGACCCCAACTTAGGACAACTTCTAATTATGTTGCTCTCAGACATTGAGATCGGCGTATGGCTTGGTCTTTTTCCTCCTTGTCCTTCCCCAGTATCTATGACCGCAAATTGTTTAGTTTTTCATTGCCAGAACATTTGTTGAAATTTAAGTGATCGATATTATTTAGCATAGGTTGAAAAAGCATACAGGAGGACACCTAATGATGCAGGATTAGACTATTTACATGTCTTGTTGACAAAACATTATTCTTGGCTAAAAAGACGTCTGCCTTGGCTGGGGCACCCACTTTCTATTTCCACCAACAGGTCCTTGATGGGAGTCCTAAAGGCAAGGCTGAGGCAAGTGAGAGGCGGCGGGGTGGGGGCCGCAGAGAATGAGGCTCTGTCAGCAAGACTGAGCGTGAACACTCCACTTTGCTCAACAATTATGGTAATTTGAGGAAGCACACAGGGTTTAGAGCCACGCAGACTTGAGATAGATGTGCCCCTATCACTTAACTATTGAGTGGTGTTGGCCAAGGCACTCATTCTCGCTGGAATGACCGGGCTGATCTTAGGTTGGATGCAAGTAGAGTACAGGGAACCAGGGAGTGACTGGCCTGGAGGAGGCACTTTAAAGCAAGGATTTATGTCTATTTTGTTTACCACTCTTACACCGGCCACTTCACCACATCAAAAACACTCAAATATTTGTTGTTGTTGTTGTTGTTAAGATTTCATTTATTTATTTGTCAGAGAGAGACAGAGAGAGACAGAGAGAGAGCACGAGCGGGGGGAGTAGGAGAGGGAGAGGGAGAAGCAGACCGCCCCCCCCATCCCCGAGCCGGGAGCCCGATGCGGGACTCGATCCCAGGACCCTGGGATCATGACCTGAGCTGAAGGCAGATGCTTAACCGACTGAGTCACCCAGGCGTCCCTACACTCAAATATTTGTTGAATGAATGAAGTATTTTCTACTAGGAACTTCATGCCCATATTAATTTTTATGAATTTTAAAAATCGCATTTTGATTCTAAGATGTTATTACTTGTCAGATATACCACTGATTTAACGTTTTTAATGACCACATTAAATGTACACTGTGGATGAAAAACATTCTAATTTCAAGAAACATTAAAAGGCAAGGAAAGAAGAGCTTTACAGTTGAGGGCATCTGCTATATTAATATTATTAGCCTTTTTATTACTCTCATTTATAGCAGGTATTTCCCTCAATTTGTCCCCTTTATAATTTCCTGATTTTCTTTTGATCCCCCAAATAATAAGTTATATGTAGTTCATCAGTCATCTCGTGGAGTTTCTTCCCATACTTTTTTGGACTTGGCTGTTGTTACCCCATCCACAAGTAAGGTAATTTTCTTCTAGTTGATGGTTTCATTTGCACACTTAACTTTTAATCCTCCTGGAATTTATGCTGTGAGATATGGTTCAAAATTAATTTCCTAAAGAAATAATTTATTTCTTCAAAACTGATTTGAATAAACACCAATTGCCCAGTATTTGTGATGCTTTCTTTCCAGTAATTCATCCTTCCAGATCCTTCTATCACCTGCTGTTTGCTTCATCTGTCTCAACTTACTTCCCTGTTCCTCTTCACAGCATGTTCATTACCTGCCATTATATTGACTATTTACTTTTTATTTGTCTTACTATCTTCTCCATTTGAATGTAAGCTCTAGGGCACACAGAACTTCGTCTGGTTCATGATACATCCCCAGACGTGCAACGTGAGGGGATCACATACTGGTAACTGTGTGAAAGAATGAAGTACCATGTTCACAAGCAGTACAAACACTTACTGTGATAGGTACTGAAGAAATGGAATATGCCAACGAACCGGGACTCCTTGGAGGAGCTTATTCAGATGGACTAGATGAGGAAACCCCTCCAAGGATGTGACAACTGAGGTTACCGTGGAGCTGAAGCCCCAAGATCAAGAATGAGCTGGTTGGGTGAAGAGCTGGCGGAGGGCCGAGGGCTACCGGAGGGCTTGGTAAGGCCAAGAAGGGGCCAGGAAGAGCGGTGGGGGGTGGGGGCATAAA